GTGTCCACATTAAACCTGTCTTCCAGAGCAAGAAGATTGGCCAAGTTCTCGCTCCGAAAGAGAAGAAGCCCCCTATTGTTAGTAATCAATGCGTGGTTTACAAATTTCAATGTAATCTGTGCGACGTAGATTATGTCGGGTACACAACCCGACATTTACACCAACGCATCGGCGAACACAAATACTCGGCAATCGGCAGGCACATAAAGGAGCATAGGCTAACGAAGTCTGCTTTAGAACACAAACAATTTTCCATTTTGAAGAAATGCAGATCTAAGTTTGATTATTTAGTTTTTAAAATGCTTTTCATTAAGGAATTAAGCCCTGTGTTGAACACACAGAAAGACTCAATTCGTGCCAAACTTTTTACGCGATTCTTTGCGTGCAAATATTTTTTTATTTTAGCACTTTTCAGAATCTTTTATCAATTGTTTATCATTGTTTCCTTTGCATTCGTGTCCCTTAGGAATTCGTAGTTTATATTTAAATTTGTACCCATTTTATTCACTCATTTGACTTGATAATGACGTTAAGCGAACGTCGAAACGTCATCGTTGTTTCCAAACAAAAATGGTTTTAAGTTTTCCTACATTGTCGCAGAATCAGGACGACAGCACTGTGGGAAAAAACACACGTAAATAGTGCATAACAGATGTGTACCGTTAGTAAATGCGTAGCGTAAAACACCAAGCTCTTAACTTAACCATAGTCCTTGTAATAGACGAAGAGACATTTGCTGGAATTTGTTGTCTCCTAAAGTAACAATTTCTTATCTATGATCTTTCCTCGTATGACAAAAACTCAGAAGATAAAACTAGCGGAATGACGCCAAGACAAAACTTCAATTTTTCTTACCTTCCGTGCTCGATCATAATTGAGATCACAGAGGCGTCTAGGTAACAAAAGCAGCAGCCCAGGTGTAGAGGAGTACACCCTTTGTAATCCACAGCTTTAGGATCACTGCCATGCTTCAACAGTGGTTCTACCATCGAAAGGTGTGGTAAAGTAAATGCAATGTGAAGAGGGGTACTGCCCAGCTCATCTACGGCGTTTACATCTGCTCCGTGGAGAATAAGCATTTGTAAAGTGTCAGGCACACCAGTCCGAGAGCAAGTCGCCATGTGAAGGCAGGTTTTGCCCTGTATATTTGTTGCATTAACATCGCTGCCCTCCTTGATGAGAAGCTCTGCAATCTCACATCTATTTTCCACTGCAGCAATGTGAAGTGGCGTATTTTCTTGCATATCTCGACAATGAACACTGGCCCCTGCGTTCAACAGGAAGATTATATCATCTTTCGAGAATTCCAAAATTTGGGTCCAAGGATCAAGAAGAACAGGATCTTCGAGTCTGGATCTGTATATAGCGAGATGAAGAGCCGTGTTGCCATAATTATCTGCTACTTGGAAGTTTTGTCCGTGTTTCAATAACAAATTACTTTTGTGATTAGCCAAGCTGGCCAGCATTGGTGTCTGCCCTTTGCTGTTAACCGCAGTCAAGTCTGCTCCTCTGTCAATAAGGAGCTGTAACATTTCCTCGGTTCCTTTCATCGCAGCTCTGTGCAAGGGAGTATCTCCATTCTTATCTCTTGCATCAATGTCCAATCCTTCGTCTAAGAGGCTGTTGACCGAAGACACGAACTCCTGGGTTACAGCAAAATGAAGAGTTGTTCGACCAGTTTCGTCATCTACAGCAAGCCTGTCACCTCCGTGGTCAAGATACAACTGTAGAGGGTCCTCCAAATAGTACTCCAATGAAGTTAATTTGTACATCGCAGAGAGCACTGATTGTCCATTGAAATCTGTTGCATTTATGTCGCTTCCATGATCAACCAATAATTCGACAAGATACATGAAGCCCCCTTTTGCCGCCAAGTGTAGAGCAGTTCTTCCATTTTCATCAACGGCTTTGACGTTACTGCCGCACTGAATTAAAATCTCTACATTGTCAAAGTTACCTCCAGCGGCTGCAAAGTGCAAGGGAGACCAGCCTTGACTATCAGCTAAGTGAACATCCGCTCCACGTTGAATCAACAACTTCACTGACCTGCAATCACCAACATAGGCAGCTGCATGGAGAGGGCAACGATTGTCCCTGTCTAGGGTTCCCACGTGTGCACCTTGTTGAAGCAGCCTCTCTACAATCTCTGGGTTACCAGTTGCTGCTACATGTAAGGGTGTCTCACCGTTGTAGTCAGCCAGATTAACATCAGCGCCATGGTCTAAAAGAAGTTGGCATACTTCCACACCGGCGCATGAAGGTATAAAATGAAGTGGGGTTCTTCCATACTGGTCAATGGTATTCACAGAGCTGCCATGTTCGAGTAAAACTTCCACGATGTCGGTGTATCCAGTTACAGGTGCGACCGCATTTCTCACAGCCTTCATAAGAGGAGTCTTACCAAATTTGTCCCTTGTATCAACACTGCTTCCCTCAAGCAGAAAAAACTGAACCAAGGAAAAATTTCCACCATCTGTCTCTGCTGCTGAAGCAAGAGGTGTTTCACCTAAAGCATTCTTAGCTTCCCTGTCAGCGCCATGTTGTAACAACAACTGCGGTATGTGAACACTTTCTGATCCTTTGGCGACAGCGACAGCGACATGTAATGGGGTAGTTTCCACCCTACAGCATTCTTGGTTGACAGCTAAACCATACTGCAGCAACATTTCAGTGACTTTACTATTTCTCCTTTTGACAGCAAGGTGAAGGGGCGATTCTGTGAAGCTGTCTTCACAGTTTGCTTCACATTCAAGATCAATAAGGAGGCTTCCTATTTCTTCGTGGTTTAAATCTGCAGCAAAGTGAAGAGGTGTCTCAAGTTTGTTATTCTTCGCGTTAATATCTGCACCAAATTCAACAAGAAGCTTAACCATTTCTATTAGTTTAGGATGTGCAACTCGAAGTAGAGCGATATGAAGAACTGTATTCCCATCCTTAGCTCTTCTTGCATTTACATCCAAACCATTTTGCAGATGACGGGAAACTACATCAACATCAGTGCGGAAGGCAGCTGATGTTAGTATTGCAGCAGCGTTTTTCGTAGAAAAACTTTCCACGTCATCAAGTGTGCGATTGCAAAGCATTCCAAGAACATCAAGGAGACCATGTTCCGCAGCAAGCATTTTAAGAGACTCAATTTTACTGCTATCCAAATTTGAAATGTCAGCCCCGCGTTCTATAAGAAGTTTGGCTGTTTCAGCCTGTCTTGCGTGTAAGGCAGCATACAGGGGCGAGATGTTTTTCCAGTATTCTTCCACATATAGCTTGCGGTTATGAAGAAGTTCCGCTCGTGAATCAACATCCCCATTGATGCTGGCTCCTCGTTCTAACAGGAACGTCACCGCATCACATTGCCCGTTGCTAGATGCTTCTTCTAGTGGAGTCAGTAATGAACTGCTTTCGCTGTGGACAGTATCTGCAGATAAGCCTCTGTTAAGAAGAAGTTGCAGGACAGCTGTGGAACCTTTACGGGCAGATAATTTAAGTAAATCTGCTTCATGAAATTCTAAAACGCTTTTGTCGTTTATGAGCATAGAATCGCTTCCTTTGTCAATCAGAACTTTGGCTGTAGTACCGTGGCCTTCTTTCAAAGCATAGTATAAGGCTATCAGGCCATCTTCGTCCCTTGAGTTGACATTAGCACCCTGGTTCAGAAGATAGTTTACCGTGTCTGTTTGTCCTTTTTCAGCAGCAACATGTAATGGTGTTTTATGGCGGTTGTCTCTTGCACTAATGTCAGCTCCTTCTTCAACAAGCAACCTGACCAACTCTAGACGAGTCGCAAGGTGAAGAACTGTCGTGCCGTGGCGAGTTACTGGTAACGCATTCCAATTCCTACCTTTTTCAATAAGGAACTTAACAACATTAGTGTGGTCTCCTGCAGCGGCTGAATGTAAAGGTAGCCAACCGATTTCGTTCTCTTTATTCAGTTCCCCACCATTATTTAGCAAAAGATGAATAGACCCAACGTGGCCCTTTCCTGCAGCTAACATTAGAGGTGTGTAACTAGTGCTGCTGCTGTCGGTGGTGCGAGGGGTGGTGGCTTTGTTGACATCTAGACCATGCTCAATTAGCAGACGGAGGGCCTCCGTGTGACCACTTGCAACAGCCAAATGAAATGCTGAATATCCTTGAAAATTTAATTTAAAAACATCTGCGCCGAGCTCGATTAATCGTAGCATATTTCTCACTTTACCAGCTTCAGCCGCATGGTGAAATGGGGTGCAACCACGGGAGTCGCACATCTCAAGGGAGGCACCTCTTTCAACAAGGAATTCAACAACGTCCTCGTCATTGAATCTTGAAGCCAATATCAGGGGCGTTTCGCCTGACGATTCCATCGCCACAGAATTAAACTGTTCACCACAATCAAGAACCCTTCGGAGATGGTGTACCTGTCCACTTCTTGCCGCCAGGTGTATCAAGGACGGAGAATGGCAATCCTTAAAGACTGTATCAACAAGCTTTCTCAGCTGCTTATGTTCTACAGAATGTTGCAGGGTCAGCACCGCCCAGACAGACTTACCAGGAAAATGAGATGAGCGATGACCAATCTTGACACTCACTGCTATGACACTGTCGAGTTTGCTAGGACTGTGTTTCAGGATGTCACTGAAGGTTCCGATGTCCCCTTGAATGCAAGCTAACTGTAGCGAACTCAAGCCACGTTCTTTATCTGGTGTAGTTACAGCATCAAAAGCCAAAGATCCTAAGGACAGCTGCGGAAAAAATGGTGACATGTCAAGGCTGGTGCACATGGTGAACACTATTTGTAATATTTCTTTCAACGGTTATGCATGAATGCTGGGACTGTGGCAGAGCATGAGAGAGAAAGCCAGGGTTCAAAATAATTTTCGGACCGGCCAAAGTAATTTTAGCTCGGTAACGTCTCGTTTCTGACCGGTCAAGATATTTTTTTAAAAAAATTAAGTAATGTTCGCCTAATGAAACCTACAAATATAATTTGTTCGTTCCAGTCGTTGCTAGACCGTTTAAAAATTGGCCTACTACAAAGAAAAGCTTAAAACTTAACCAAAGATAGCCTTGGCAGGGTTCAGCAGCTCAATGAAGTGGCATGCTGTCAGTGGAATGCTTGCCACCTGCCAAAGAAAAAGTATTGAACGGATGCATATTTTATGAAATTTTTCGATCGGTATATTGAATTCCATGAGCCGTTGTTTTGATGTTCTACAAAGTATTTATGTCCGTCAAAACCTGAATGAAACCATACATGCATCAGCAGATCCTAATTTGGGGCTTCAGAAATAACTGGGCAAACAAATATAGCCGAAGAAATTTCTGTTTCCTCGATTCTCACCCGTGCAAACGCACAACAAATCATCGCGTAACTACGAATACGGCTACACTTACACAACAAGTGTTGGGAAGTTTCTTAATGATGTGAATAAAATTAAGTTCTAGAGTGCAAGCCATAAAAAATCTAAATTCTGTTGTAGTCATTAGAGAGAGTTTTCGTTCACGAAGGACTAATAACCCTCATTCGGTAGATTTTACCAAGTAACGAGTTGAGAGTGTCTCAAATTTCAATCGCAAACAAAATAACTTTACACAGGGGCACCCAACGGATCGCTTCGGTAAATTATCTGTTCGGAAGGCCTTTAATCCTCTCTGATCTTCTGAGGAGAATTGTCACCTCGAATTTTCGTGATATGTGAAATTTAATATCTGTTGTTTTCGAATTGTAAAAAATGTCGTTTTGGGTACCGAAAAAAGGTCAGCTGTCGTTTTCGGAAAGGCGATAAGACCTAAGGTTTTCGGTGAATGGACAAAAAAGCCCTAGTAAATTCGAGAATACTCAAGTTCCCCTAAAATAACCGAACAGATAAAAATTTTTTAGCGCAACCTAAAATTAACACACAGAGCTTTAAAAGTACTCCAGATAGCCAAAAACAGCGTTTAAAAGCATTTGAGAGAAAACGGTCGTTGGGTGCCCCTGTTTACAGATACAGATACTGATATAAAGGCCTTCGGCTTTTTTGTTGGTACATAATTATTTTCGTCCGTTTTGTAACAGTAACTTATCGGTTGGTGCTAAATTAGATACTGGCTTCGTGCTCAATGTTACATTTACGGCTTCATGGAAACGAAGCAGACTGCAAAATGCGTGTTTTGATGTCCCGGAGTCTCATAGTGTCTAAGTCGGAAGCAACTTGACAATCTAGCGAAAAGTTTTGTTTTGGCGTCTTGTTCGTCGATTTGTGTGCAGTGAAAGTGAAAGAAACGACAAATATCTTGCCATCTGTGAGCAATACCTTTGCAATATACGCCAACAAAGAGAGATGCTCTGTGACAAAAGTGTGCCGGACAGTTGGGCAAATCTAAAGCGTCACGAAAAGCTGAATCTGATCGGATTCTTTGCCGTACGGAAAACCTCTGCTGTTCGAAAGGCTGAAAAGTTTTGAATTCTGAATTGAAAACCGCTGCCGTCATAAAAGATGAAAAATTTTTTGGAACGGATAGCAGCAGTTGTTTGAACGGCTAAATATTTTTCTGAACGGATAACCCCAACCGTTCGAATGGCATTCCAATCGATCTTGAACGCAACAGCAAGCGATCGATTTTTAGCCGTTCAAAGAGATACCCGTCGGTGTATGTTTTCGTATGAGAGGCCACAATAATAAAGAGATTAAAAATCTAAGATTTACAGTTGAGGATTTCATTGTCTATTCAAGAATGAACAACGTGACGTCTCAACATGGCGTGACCGGTCAACATGACCGGCGAGTGAAGTTTTTGGCCGGTCAAGTCACCATTCTGGCCGGACATTGTCCGTTGACCGGCCGTTATTTTGAGCCCTAGAAAGCATGAATGCCTTCATGAATCAGGAGACTACCATGAAACAAATCCAGCAAGTGGCGAGGGCGGAATTCGAACCCGGGACGACCGCTCTGGTGTAGTCACAACATCAAAAGCCAAAGATTTCATGGAAAGTTGCGGGAAAAAATGGTTGAGATGGTTGCAGATACTTTCGGTTTGTTGTATTGTTGAAAATGGTATCTCTGTTACCTCTCTTTCATAACATCGCAAAGGCTACAATTGTATTAACAATGGTAGCTGATTTTTACCACTTAGGGAAGAGATGACAGTAGTAAAGAGAGGCAAATCTAAGAATGATAATTTTAAAAACCCAGGAGGTATACGACCACCTCTTAGACCACAGGCTTACCATCCTCTGTGCGAGTGGAGCGTTGCTATAAAAATCTAGAGACGAACTTCAAATGTTCTAATGAGATTAAATTTCGATAAACAT